GAAAGTAAATGCTGCTTTATCTAATTCGAGTTTCATAAGATCTTGTTCCAAAGAGGTCCGTTTGGTGTCCATTGCCTGTAATTTATGATCTATTTCATCTACCTTGTCTTCTAGTTTAGAAGTTGTTTTATTCAGGTCAGCAATCTTCCGATTATTCTCTAGCAGTTGCTTCTGAAGATCCTCCAACTTTTTATATATAAATTTGTTTTATTAAACATACACCACAGACATACCGACAAACACTAACAATACTAAACACAAACATAAAATGGGAGCATCCCTTCATACTTTGAGTAAAGAATTTGTTGTCCATACATCTGAAATCTTAAAACTTATTTCTACACCAGATGCTACTGTCCATACTTTGCACAATATTAAATATAATGTTCTTATTAACCTCTGTTTTGGTTATAACATGTTTCAGCACTTCAGTTCTTCTAACCAGTGATAAAACCTTGACCATGTTTCTTCAAATTTGTACTCTCTGTGTCTTTTCAAGATTAAAGTTAATTTGTCCATTTCAGCAACTTCCAGTAGTTTGTTTATTAGTTCTTCTCTTGTTGATGTCTCCTCTCTTCTCCAATAACTCGCATACAGTATTCTAGCGGCTGTAACTATGTGTAGAATGAGATAAGAGTCCTGTTTTTTTACATTTTTCTGGAAGCATATTCAGTAAAAAGAGTTCTGGTACAAATGGTACATTATTTTTAAGTATTTTTTTGCAATATTTCATGTATCCAGATCAATTTTTTAAAACTTTTATAACATGTCCACCACATATGAAAAAAAGTATGAGGGACTTCTGGTGGAGCCTGATGGTAATGGCCGCCTGAACTCTTCACTCTTCCACACCTTCCCCTTTGTTCGCCCCTCCATGCCAATCCTACAACTTCTGACAACTGCAGCTATTTGGGGAAAAAAGACCGGAACGATCCACAACCGAACCCCCAAAAGTCTAAGACAGAGCAACAGCTGGGAGATCAGCAATCTTCATCCTCCATATCAGGCCTACACAACATCAAGACTCACAAAATGGTGACGGGAAGCACTGGAACTGACAAAGAGGCAGCTCCTGTTACAACAGCAGAGCTAAAGTCAGCTCTGACCAACCTGGAAATGATGTTTCTAGATAAAATCTTCTCCCTGATAAAACCCTTTTATGAACATTTAGATATTATTCAAAAAACCTTGACAGAGACGAAGAATGTAGTCGATGGAGCAATGAATAATAGCTTGGTGAATCAATCAGATATACAACAAATGCTGATAACGGAAGACATAATCGCTGAAAGAACTATGCGCTTGGACATGTCCCAACGACAAAACAAACCTTAAGCTGAGAGGGATAGGGAAGAAGATTGAAGAGAAAGGAGACTTAACAGCATTCATTTCCAGCTGGCTACTCCAACGTTGGATTGGAAAATGATATTTCTTCAGTCATTACTAAAGCGTTCCAACTAGGATCTCCAGCTATACTGAAAACGTGACCTTCCCGGGATGTTCTAATCACGGTACTAGATCTTCGCTACAAGAAACGAATCTTAAATGCAGCACGGAAAAATGGCAGTATTAAATGCAAAGATTCAGCTATAGAAGTCTACTCAGACTTACCAAAGGAAGCCCTGCAAAAAAGGCGCAAACTCAAACCAATAACAAACAGCCTAATGGAAGCCGGGATCAAATACGTCTGGACATTGCCGTTAATGCTACAAGTTACTTACAAAGGGAAATCTCGCAGAATCAACCATCCTGAAGAAGGCTTCAAGATTCTTCGGTCTCTAGACATTGAAATACCAATGGACCAAAGCAAAAGATTGAAACAGCGAAGACTGTCTTCTTCATCACCGCCGCCATCGGAGCTGAGGCAAACAACTCGGGTGACTCCATGACACCAATCAACTCTCTTAATGAACTTGTGAGGGCACACACAAGTTAAAAAATCATAATTGCAGTTCAGAATTTTAAGTCAGAGTTATGATTGAAATTTAGATTAATTGTTATAAGGTTTCAGACTAATTACTAAAGTAAGGATAGTTGATTGGCGTCCTATAGTGGTAAGGTTGCTAAGTGATAAGGGACGCCGAAATCATAAGCTTTCTACTAATGTTTTATGTACTGTCTATACCGCATATTCCATGATTTAATTAATGAACCTTAGTCAGAAATATCTATGTACTATAATAATCGAAAGTGTTGGGGAGGGTGTGTGTGGATTGTTGGGGGTTTAATTGTCCTACTAGTGATTAGACTCTCAGAACCATACGCTGGGACTGACAGTCTCCTGAGATGAAAACCCAGCCTCCTGCACCTTACACTTCAGTGCAGGAGAACGGAGAGTCTTATATTGTTTTAAACGCTAATTAACTGCAACACACTGATTGATTTAATATTTTTAATTGATGCACAGACTACCTGTACTAGAATTAATTCATCTACTTGCTGATTTTGATCTGTTTTATTATTAATTTATATTTTTGTTAAGGGGGAGATAAAAGAGGGGGAAGGCTTACGATTGCTGAATAGAGTTGAGATCAAACAAACCCACAGAAACTGCAATACCAGAGTGGACATCTGCTAGATTAATTATGCACCTTTAATCTATAATACACAAGATATACTTACCATACATAGAGACAAAGAACAGGAAAGTAGAGTGTGTTTCATCACTAGAGTGAAATAGGGATTCTAACAGAGATAGATCTTTACTTTCTAAGACACGGATAGCTGAATATTCTTGTTATTTGGCACCCTCTAGTGATAGCCATTGAAATTGGTACTGTCATATTTTCACCATTCACTAGATTGTAGGCATTTAATATTTGACTACATACATTTCTATTTCCTACCCTCTACCTCTGGGCGCCTGCTTAGGATCTGTCTGATAAACTCCCATTACCATACTTAACCTACACAGAGGAGACCTTCATAGTGGAATTGATAGGTTTTCCTTATCAGAGACTCATACTAAAACCCTTGGCAAACAATTTGCATTTGGGCTAAAGATTATAACCTACTAAAGTCACATACTTTCTTATATATAGAGTGGCATAATGGACATTGGTATCAAACTAGTTTCATATAACATCCGTGGCCTGAACAACAATATCAAACGGAAACGCATCCTTACAAGCATATCAAAACAAAAACCTGATGTAGTTTTATTACAGGAAATGCACCTCAAAAAAACAGAACACATTGCATTTCACTCCACTAAATTTCAATCGCAGTACCTCATATCAGGCACTTCAAAATTGCATGGAGTGGCGATCCTAATAGCAAAGAACCTCCGTTTCACTTTCATATAAAAAAAGCAAGACACAGATGGCAGGTATCTTTTCATTAAGGGGAAAATTGAAGACCGTTTGACAACCATTGCTACAATGTATGCACCAAATAGTGGGCAATTGAATTTTAAAGGAGAGACACTTGTGAAATTACAGGGTTTTGCAGAGGGGGATATCATAGTGGGGGGGATTTTAACTTTATAGTGGACAATATTCTGGATAGATCCTATCATAACTCCAACACGAAACAGTTTAAAAAGTGCTTTACGAAATTGGCATTAATAATGAAAGAGCATGGGTTGACAGATATTTGGTGTACCACTCATCTGGGTGAAAGGAACTACACGTATTTTTCTGCACAACATAACGTGCATACCAGAATTGATTTTATATTGACATCTTCATCCTTGCACGATCGAATTATATCCACCTCTATAATGCCATCACAATGGTCGGACCATGCATGGTTGGACTGCACAATCTCACAGACTGAACAATCAAAGACACAGAGACAATGGGCGCTCAACACATCTTTATTAGAAAATACTGATTTCAGACAGGACATAGAGAAGGATAAAGAAAATGATAAAGAGGATATCTCCCCGACTATTTGTTGGGACGTGATGAAGCTGGCTTTACGAGGTAAAATAATATCCAAGGTCTCTTTCCTAAAAAAGAAAGAACAACAGTTAGAGACTGACTTAATGAAAGCGGCTCTAAACAGACCCTGAAACAACTACATCTAGAACGCAAGGCCCTCAGCATGCTAGAAACCTCTAAGATTAAAAAACAGTTAATCTTCACCAAACAAAAATACTGGTTGAAGTAACCCCAAACACTAAACCTTCTGTCACATAAAATAAAAGACCTCAAAACATCCAATCAGATTCATGCACTTAGGAATGCACAAGGAGAAGTGGTCACCAACACAACAGATATACTAAAGATCCTTGAGAACTATTATACTGAATTTTATAGGGCCAAGCCCGCATGTCATGACACCTTTAAAAAGATCATAGATGAATTTCCTGCCCACTCTAAATTAGAGGACAAACACAGATTGGCTATGGAAGACCCAATAACGGAGGAAAAAACTTATGAATAACATCAAATTGCTAAAAATAGGAAAACTCTGGGACCGGATGGCCTCCCTTCAGAATATTATAAAGTATTTGTGCCACAGATTATTGCCCTGCTGACTAAGGCATTTAACCATGTATTAGACACAGGGAATATCCCCCCCTCTTGGAGACTAGCTTCCATGGTCGTCATACCTAAGAAAGATCGTGATCCTATGTACCCACAATCATACTGCCCTATTTCTTTGTTAAATCAGGACATGAAAATTTTCACATCCATTCTAGCCAGAAGAATCAACACCTTTATCCCAAAGTACATTCACTCTGACCAAGTCGGATTTATCCCGCACAGAGATCTCGCGGATAATACTATTAAGATGTTACACCTTCTTCAACACGGTATCCGGGGGCGTGGCGTCGGGCTAGAAGAAGATGGACGCCTGAACTCTCGGCTCCGACCCAATCCTCCTGATTCTATCATTTTTAGCAAGATTTACATCACAAACAACTCTATCCAGGCATGAAAAGATCACTAAGAATTAAATCGTATAAAAATAACTCCAAACAACAACCGATCCCGCCGTATTTTGCCTCGCAAAATTCATCACAGGCATCGCAGCCTTCTGCAGAAGCCAACATGGCGGCGGACAACCCCGGTCTTCCAGACGGAGGTATGGCAGTCACGCGTGACGAATTCTTTTCAACTATCAAAGCCTTAGAGAATACCGTCACCGCTACAATAAAAGATATAATCAAACCGATTACCGAACAACTGACTGAACTAAAAACTGCGCTCTCACAAGCGTCGCAGACTGCTGAGACAGCCCTCGAGGCAAGTATAACGCTTCAAGACGATTCCCGGTTTTTTTATAAGAGGGAGGAATGGGCAACAGATCGCATAATGGCCATTGAAAATCAACTCCGCGCCACCCATTTAAAATTTCGGGGCCTCCCAGAGCAAGTTGGGGGAAAAGGGAAAGCAGATCTCTGCGCGTTCCTAACTTCGTGGCTAGCCGCGATTCTCAATTTAGAGGACAGCGAGGAACTGTTCATTGAATGGGCCTACAGGGCGGGCCAGCCACGATCTCAACAAAGAACAACCCCGAGAGACGTCATTGCCAAGTTCTCTGATTCCCGGGCCAAGATGGCGATCATTGAAACTGCGCGCGCACAAGGATCGCTGCAGTACAAGGGCTCAAAGATCTCAGTTTTACAAGACCTTTCCTCGGAGACACTACAGAAACGAAAACAACTAAAACCAATAACCTCTGCGCTGATTGCTGCGAACATAAAATACCGATGGTCTGCATACTACAAGCTCCTTGTCTCCCACCAAGGAACCACCAGACTGATAGCAGACTACGACGCTGGGCTTCAGCTTCTTCAAGATCTCAACTTACCGCTCCCACCAGAACAGCCAACAGATCAAGACGTCGGGAGGAACGATCGTCCTTCAAACCGGTGGAAGAGATTAACACCCAAGAAAAACTCCTAGCTTTTGTCTCACTCACGCGACAACCTGCCTGACTTTCGGTTTCAGTTTTCAGCTTTCTTCTTCCAGCTTGACGATCGTCTTACAACATCGACTTCAAAGAAGTTCGACAGAATGTATTTAATGGCATACAACCTGCCTGACTTTCGGTTCCAGTTTTCAGCACTCTTCATCCAGCTTGACGATCGTCTTACAGCATTGACTACAAAGAAGTTCAACAGAATGTATTTAATGGTATACTGTTGCTTCCACTAACTGCTGAACGCAATTAAGGAAGACTTCAATGCTGACTCACAGAAATGGTACTATGTTATACCGACTTTATGCTTAATCTTATACTTAATATGCTAGATATCCGTTATATGTGTGTGTTATTTGAATATCAACTTGCTAATAATTTGTTCACATTTAATACACCTTAGGGTGATCATCTGGAGGGGGCGGGAGGGACCTAATGAGGTTCTAGCTCCACAGCTTGTTTGTTCTTTAGTTGCTAATACTTAAAAATGACTTTTCCATGTTCCCTGCACACTAGGGACTGCAGAACAAAGTTAAATGTTCTGCACAAAGTTGTTCATTGTTTAATGTTGATGTTGATGTTTACACAGTTTTTAAAGTATTATGAATTGGTTAAGAACTACACAACAAGGATTTCAGTAATTCACCCAAGTATGACTACACAGTTTTTAAAGTATCATGAATTGGTTGAGAACCATACAACACGGATTTCAGTAATTCACCCAGGT